ATGGATGGATGGATGGATGGATGGATGGATGGATGGATGGATGGATGGATGGATGAATGGATGGATGGATGGATGGAGACATTAATATAGACCAATCTAGCAGATACAAGAAAACAATCCAACCCTTATTTGAAGGCAGGGAACCAGAAATAACCTCCAGAAATATTGAAGAATTCAGTCACTTCATCAAGTGCCAAGCCAAATACAGTACATGACACGCATTGGTCAAACACAGAAGACTCGAAATCCCACTTCCATCGAACTGTACCTGCAGTTCTGGGTTGTTGTTTTTTTATTTCTTTATCTTGGCAAGATATCCCTCGAACTACGGATCTCTCGAACTACCGAGGCCCGTCCGACAAATTCGAGCTATCCGTGTTATACTGCATGACACTCACTTGTATCTAATAACCCTGTCTGGATAGGGATTGCTGCTCAAGGCTGTGACGACTTGCTTCAAGGCCACCAGAGCTTTGGTCAGGTGTGGCCCTCCCTGAAGACTGAGATGCTCAGAGTCAGAGACGAGCCTCTCGAGACCAGGAAGTTCGACGACGGTAAACTTCGACTTGAACGGCTGAGGACTTGAACCAATTCTCTGAAGGTCAGAAAAAAAGAAGAAATTATTAGGCTCTAATTTCTATTTTGAAGGTAATATTTTTGTATGTATTTTGAAAAAAACGGTCGTACTTGTTACTAAGAGAGAGAAATGTACACAAGCAACATTTATTTTCTTGCAGATTTTCCTCTTTACATGTACTCAAATAGCTAATCTAATGGTCGCTTGGTGTTTTGATGGCAGATTTCGACAAGTTCCTGCTGCCTTTTGGTAATTCAATACGAAAAATAACCATGAGAGTTGTTTAAAAAACTTTTAAAAATTAGAAGTTTGAGGTTTCAAGTCTAGGGGTCAAAAAGGTGCTTTGTTTTCTGTTGAAAGTTGTGGGAGGCATATCGCAGATGAAGACAATGTTCCTCTTTTCAGTGGAGTCAATTTCGGAACTCTTTACAACATATATTTGTTCTTCCTACATCTTCTTTGGGAGCATTCATCATTACATTAAATTTTCATTATCACATTCACTCAAGTGCCCTTTTTTTTTACTCACTCACATATTTAGTTTAAGCATTTCTTCTTCCATTAATTCAAATAAGCCTTTGCCAATTCATGTTTTATCTTCAGTTACCTACAATATTATAGTAAGCATTGTCCCACCAAAATAGATACCAGAATTCGTGTAGCATTATGATGCTTCAAAGGGAAACTATCAAAGCCGTGCATTTTCGAGAAGAAAAAAAACTATCAAAGCCGCGCACTATCAGGGTAGTGCACTTTTTGACAATGTTAATACAATGAGATTGCCGATTCCATCTAATGGTTACAGCCTCCTTGACAAAATTACTCTGTACAGCTACAGCTCCATGGTTCAAACATATGTACATGTATAATCATTCGTCATTCTGCAGACGTCAAGCGACTTCCAGACCATTTCTAAGCTGAAACTAAAAAACACATACTAAACAGAAAGGCACAAACAAGAAAGAAAGGAGAATGTGTAGAAAGTAAATGTACGCAGATGGACAAGTCTCACAACATCAATTTTCATCCTGAATGAGCAAGAAAATGCAGCCCCAATACTTTAAAGATCGCCCCTGTCCTACTGCAGATATGTTTTTATACCTGAAAAGCCTATGCATTCAATACAAAATCTAACTGATATCTCGTCCCAAGCCCAGTAAAACGCTCAGGATAGGCCTACCTAAATTGTGGATTTGGTAGTCGGCAATCTAATTGTATTGATATCGTCAAAAAGTGCGCGGTTCTGATAGTGCGCGGCTTTGATAGTTTTTTCTCGAAAGTGCGAGGCTCTGGTGTTCTCCCGTTTCAAACTCGGTCGCAGCATCATGAGTCTCTTCGTGTGTTCAAAGTCACCCCTTTCTCGCCGGGTGCCGGTCTTGAGACTGCCAACACAAGAGCTCTCCTTCTTCTTTTGGCCAGGGCTATCGCGGTTTCCACCTCTGTCCAGCTATTTCCCATCTCCTTTAGGCCCTAATTTAAGACCCTCCTCCAACTCCTTTTAGAACTTTCCCTCTTTCTCTTTCCATGCGGATTCCATCTTAACAGGTAATAGATAGCATATTTGTTTAGCGCAAATTCACGCTTATCAGCAAGCTATGCGCTTTACAATCTATATTATGATTACCCCAGGAGACCTAATAGCATTCTGAAACAATCTTGATTTACTGGGAAGCACACATAAAGCTCACATTTTAATGTTACAAGTATGCAATATAAGTGTTCACTGTTATATCACCCCTACTACATACTAAATAAAACAGACCAGGTCACAATCTCTCGACTCCGTTTTGGTCCAAACAGACTCAAACACCATATGCGCACTAAATTGAAAGTGAGAGAGTCCGCGATCTGTGAATGTGGACACGACCAAGAGGATGCCAACCATATTATCCTTCAGCACTGCCCGCGCTACTCCACCCTTCGTACACAGAAGTGGCGGAATGAGACTCCTCTTGAGAGAAAGCTCTATGGCAGCCTCTCAAATTTGAAGCGGGCTGCACAGTTTGTGCGCGACATCGAGAACGAGGAAGAACAAGAAGAAAACTGTTATAGAGAGAGATCCATCGCATTCGTCTTGAGGCCTGAGACTTTACTGCCGGCCACTGTCACCTGTCTCCATGCTCTGAAATCGATCTGTGGTGAGGTCCCTCTTTCAGGTGTCTGGTAGCTGAATAGATGTGTGAGTAGGCTAGGTATGAGTTTGTGTGCATGGATCCGAGTTTGTTGTTGTAAATGTGTGTGTGTGTGTGTGTGTGCGTGTGTGTGTGTGTGTGTGTGTGTGTGTGTGTGTGTGTGTGTGTGTGTGTG